GAAATCATTTGTATTTATTCTTTTATTGTGGTACCATTTAGAACCCCTACTAATGGGTTAGAAATGTATTGTACAAGGTAGTTTATAAAACACATAATATGGTATTTACTTGAATACAAGATGACCCTGAATATAAAACGACCCCCCCACAATAATTAGATTCCTTACATGGAAAATTTATAAATGTGTTATAATTTTCCATGTATAGAATCTAATTGTTGGAAGTTCACCTTGAATTTGTCCCTCTCCCACTGCTACAGCAGGGCAAATAAATCTGGGGGGTCAGGTAGCCCCCTTGTTCTCTGCCACCCACACCAACTTTTCCCCATCACCCTTACTATCAGACCCTGCTCTTCCTGACCACATGGAAACGAGGAGCAAAATTTGCATATAGGCATATTAGTACAGGTACCCATAGACTTAGTTCAGGCAGAACTGACAAAAAGTTTCCCTTTTTGAATCTGCTACAAATTTTAGCACAGGCACTCCATAAATACACTTTTAAACTGCACTTTGGTACGTACTTATATATATATAATACAAACTGTATATGATATTAGTTCAGAGCCAAAAGGCTCATGATTTACTACACAGTTCTCTGGGCTGGGCCCCAGCACAGTCAACAGCATTTCAAGCCATGGCGATCCAATAGCTTAGCACTTCTCAGTATGTGTGTGTATTCCAGCTACCCCAACAAAGGATTCATGTGTTCATTAGCACCCCTCCCTTCTCCTCATGACTGGAAATGGGTGTTTTTATCATGAGTCCTGAAATCCTACAAAAAGTTATATGCAGATGAGGCCTTTTGGCTAAGATCGAACATAGCATTTTTGGCACCAAGGGAAGGATGTCAGGGCTGGCTCTGGCTCTTTCAGTACTGGCCTGGTATTGCAGTACCTCCAGGCCTGCTGCCAGTTGTTTGAAGAGGGAACACTTGCCCATTTTTTAAGGGCCACAAAAAAAGGTTCCCATCAATATGTTTACCTTATATGGGTCATATATTTTATATTGTTAAACTGCGTTTGGCAGCAATTTAACAATAGATAATGTATTCAGTGAGGTTTCCTTGTATATGATTGTGTGGAGAGGCGGGCGGTATGAAGAGGCATGTGACTGAGGCCTGACAGCATGGCCTAAGCTTGCTCTAGCGGTAGGCTGGGAACACAGTAACAGCTGGATGCCATCTGCGAGGCATGGGCTGCAGTGTAGGGGAGGTTTGGACCCACGTACAGCACCCCTTGGCATTGGGGCATAAAATGGGCAGCCTCCCACCTTAATTATCATCATATTAATTACCAACAAGGCATGGCAGCCGAGTCAGGTGGGTGGCATGCCCAAAGGCAAGTGGGGAACCTAGCACTGTGGCTAGGTGGGGAGCCCCACTTTGCCACAATGATAATAAGATGAAGAGGCTTTTTTCCCCATACTGATTGGGTGGGGGTAACTTTGTCTTGCAGCTGAGTAAACACAGTAAAAACAGTCTCTGCCCCACAATCTTAATACTGTACAAATTATGAAGTGCACATGCATAACAGATAAGTAAATAATTCACTTAGCTGCATAATACACTGACAGTCCAGTATATTGCCTATTGTATACATGGTAACAAATACTGACTATCTTCAGTTATCCGAACAATCCCATACACCAATAAACTGGGGACTGACTGGCTAAGCAGATGCTCTGTAGAAAAGGACCTGGGGGTTACAGTGGACAGTAAGCTGAATAGGAGCCAACAGTGTGCCCTTGTTGCCAAGAAAGCTAATGGCATACTGGGCTGTATTAGTAAAAGCATTGCTAGCATCAAGGTAAGTGATTATTCCCCTCTATTTGGCACTGTGAGGCCAGATCTGGAGTACTGTGTTCAGTTTTGGACCCCCCACCATAGAAAGGATGTGGACAAATTGGACAGAGTCCAGTGGAGGGCAATAAAAATGGTTAGGGAGCTGGGGCACATGACTTATGAGTGGAGCGGAGAGGAGGATTTAATAGCAACCTTCAACTCCCTGAAGGGAGCGAAACTATTCTCAATGGTGGCAGATGACAGAACAAGGAGCAATGGTGTCAAGCTGAAGTTTAGGTTAGATATTAGGAAAAACTCTCTCACTAGGAAGTTAGTAAAACACAGGAACAGGTTGGGGTGGGCAAAATATGGCCCGTGGGCCGGATCCAGCTTGCCAAGCCATTGTATCTGGCCTGCAGGGCCCCTACATTTTAGAAAATTTATATTTATCTACTCCTTGCTTCCTGTCAAAGATGACAGGGGCCAGGGGCAGTACAACCCAGGGGAAGTCAGCAGGACTCACCAGCAAGTCCAGCCTGGCCCCACCTCACCGCACCCCCAGCCCTCTCCCGCCCTGAGCCCCAACCAGAAGTCTCTGCCTGCCACAGCTTTCACGGCTTCCCTGCACGTCCACCGGCCTCCAGCACCATATGGCGCCCAGCTGCATCACCAGACCATGGGAGCATGGGACCGTGCAGGTATCCCAGGGCCAGGAGTGGGAGGGTGTGTGCACGTGTGTGTGTGCGTGCACGTGTCCCTGCAACAATGAGGGAGGGAGAGACTGTGTGTGTGTGTGTGTGTGTGTGTGTAATGAGGGATGGAGAGACAGTGTGTGTTGATGTGTTTGTGCGTGTGCAATGAGGGGGAGTGAGAGAGAGAGAGTGTGTGTGTGTGTGTGTGTGTGTGTGTGTGTGTTCATAGGGCAAGTCCCACATGTGCACCCCACCATACACATGCACCCACACCCCCCTCACACTGCCATACATGCAGACCCCCACGCGCATGCATCCCCCACAATAATACAATACCCACCCACACCCCACATATCCACACACACACTCATATGCTCCCTCACCTCACACTCACACCCCCAGACCCATACCCTTCCCCACCCCCCACATACCCACACACTAACAGCCCCCAACCAACCTACGCTTATCTTGCTGGGATCCTATGACCCCAGCTGACTTCCTGCCCCTCGGGCAGGGGGCTGGACTCGATGATCTTCCGAGGTCCCTTCCAGCCCTAATGTCTATGAAATCTATGAAATACCCATGCCCCCCCCACTCCACCACAATATACAAGAGTAAGACTTCATTTTAAGCTATAGTGCAATCACCTCTACGTACACTACACAAACACACATAAATCAGGACAAAATATTTTTTGGAATCGAATGAATGTTGTAGATGTTTGATTTTTAAAATATAATTTGGTATTTTTCTGGTTCTGAGATGGCACAAGCCCTTGGTGAAAGAAATATTTCCAGGAGCAAGGGGAGGGACTTCTGATGGCAAATGTCAGGGGCTAGGGGGCAGGACTTCCAGTCACAAGATGGCAACTAAGGGGCAGTGCACCTGTCAAGGGGTGGGGCTACCTGTGCTGCCCTCAACAGCTTGCCAAAACTCGGTAAGCAGCCCTCTGCCCAAAATAATTGCCTGCCCCTGCCATAGAGGTTGTGGAGTCTCCTTCCTTGGGGGTTTTTAAGACCCAGCTAGACAAAGACTTGGCTAGGATGATCTAATTGGGGATGGTCCTGCTTTGAGCAGAGGGTTGGACTAGACCTCCTGAGGTCCCTTCCAACCCTAATTTTCTATTATTTTATGATTCATATTAGCTATGTGCAAAAACAACTTAAATACATAGCATCTTTCAGTTCTACTACCTACTTGGTAACATACTTATACTCCAGTTAACTGTACAGAAATGGTGAGGAGAAGCAGTGATCAAAGGGCTGCTCTTAGAAGTCTTTAAAATGATGGGAACTAATCAATTTAAGAGTTGCTATCTCCCCTCATTTTACAGGCTTCTAAGCTGTGCAGCTTTTAGCTTCCCAAAGCTACTTCCTGTTACTTTCAAGGCCTCTAATAGCAACCTTGGAAATCTTAGAAACCTTAAACATGATGAGAGCCAGTCAGTGTCAGGGTTGCTAATTTCACAGCACTGAGAGCACTATGTACTTACCAGCACAGTTTATATTAAGTTCTGATATTCCAAGTAAGGGTTTAGCCTTTTTTCAGTCCCGAGGCTACACATTTATACAAAGTACACTGTACTCTAAAAATGAGTCAAAGCTTCAACATATTCAGAAAAGGCAAGGAAGCAATTTAAGTAGCAGCCACTGGGGTCCATGAAAGTCCCATCTGGAATGTGTGATAGGAGATGCCTGGAAGCAAAGACTTTCTTATTTCCAACCTGTGAAGTCCAATGAGAAGGTTCTCAGACACCATTGGATGTGCCATTGAATGACTGGAAGTGTCACTGAGACAGTATTTAGAGTCACTGAAAAGCTTTTTCATTGAGGTCTTAACAACTGCCCCAGTAAATCCATGTGGCACGTATCAAAAGGGAGGGGCTATTAAACATCCTACTGCCTGAGACAGCGCTGAGCTCACATATATGTGCCTATACATATGCCTATACATGTGCCTATACAGCGCTGCCTATACATGTGCCTATACATTGTAATTAGAAAGCTTCAGCATGGCATCACTGTCATGTGAATAAGCTCCTGCATGTTTAAAAATGGCCACTGTGGCACTTTATCTAAACCTTGTCTAATGAGGTTTAAATAAAGCATCCCGCAGCCATTTTAAACCTGCAGGGGCTTAATACACATGAAGGTGAGGCATTTTAATTAGAGCGGCTCTCCAGAAACTGCTCAAATTAAAACGTACCCACCCCACTCCCAAACATGTATAGGCAGCCATGCAGTTGCAAACAGAGGTTGTGCAGTTGGAAATAAATACAGAGCTCTCCACCCAAGTGCCATGAGGTGGAGAAACAGAGTAGATGAATAAATAGCTGTGTCACTTCCAGCATAAAGGCTCCAGCACTGGAGCTTTTCAAATACTGTGTTTAGAGAAAAAGCACAAGGTCTTGGGATTCACGGGCAACATTGCAAGGATATATGATCCCCACCCCAAATGCTTTCCACAAATTACATGACTGGGGCAGAGATAAGGTAAATGTTGATATTGAAATTTCTGTTACTTACCCATAATTCCACAAGAGAAGAGAGTAGGTCCTTGACTCATCTTTGGGGTGTGCTGAAAACAACCAGAAAAGCTATTCATTTTTCACAGACTTGACTGGTTCATTAGAAGTCATTCCAAACTGTAGGCCCTATCTGCCATCTTAACTAGCACTAGTAGTGTGAGAAAAGGGAGTAAAATCAAGTCCTCACTGACTCGCCCAAAGAAGTATGTGGCCTGGCTGACAGCAGGACAGTCTTGGGCCTCAACCAAAGCACTACACTCCCTTCATCTTTCTCCAGTTCACCACATTTTTCTAAAACTTCCAAATAGCAGCATCAGGGCCCAATCATGCAAACCTGTACTCATGCATGAAACCCTTCCCCACGTGAGCAGTTCTGCTGAAGTCAGGCACTCCTTATCACATGACCCACAACCCTAAATGCTCGAGGAGCTAAACAAAGTGCTGGACTTCAGCAATAATTTTGTGTTGGGGCAACAAGAAACCAGCAGATTTACTGGGATTTGAATCCCTGAAAGGCTCATTAAAGTTCCCGATCAAGATACCAAAAGACAAATGTTTTCTATATAAATACGTAGTGCACTTGTAATGGACAGCTTCTATTTCAAAGATTTTTCAAGGGATTCTCACAAAATTTGGATTGTTCTTCTCTTATTAATAAGACAGAAGGGCAAATACTACTTATTGACAACATAATTCCAGCAATGTTTTCATGTTTTTCATTTTAATTCGCTTTCCAAGAATTTTTCTCCCGACAGCATAATCATGACTTCTAAAAAACCCCCATTTCAGCTTTATGTACAATCAATCAGGATGACTTTAAAACTGCAGGATATGTTAGCACTGCTTATAAAACCAAACATCCACAGTAATTGTTCTTTGTTTGTGGGAAATGTCCATATTTCATTCCTGAAATTTCCTCCCTGCAACTCAAGGCCACTTAAATACAACGGTCATTACTTTAGCTAAGTAAAGCAACAGCATAAACTCCAAGGTGATTCATTTTGCCAGAGGTGCATTTTATCTGGGTTTAGGTAACTGTGCTGGCATCAACTTCTTTCCTAATTACTATTTCAGATGTTGCCTATGTATGTAATAATGTGCTTGCTTCTGACAACCCCTATGAAAAGTAATCCAATGGAAGGATGCTAATCACTATGCATAATGCCATAAACGTTGTAGTCTACTTTAGAGTGACACGGAGGTAGGAAGGGCCAATTTTGCAGATTGGCAGAAAATATTTGAATTGTAAGCCAAGTTTGGCCCCCTTTTCAAAGCATGCTGTCACTCTTCAGATAAAGTAAAATGTTTCTCTATCAGGACTGAATTTGTTTTACAGGGAAGTTTAAATTAGCCAAAAACCCAGGATGCAAAAGAAAGGCCAAATTAAAGTTAACATGATACCTGAATGTACACTACAAAAAAACAATATTTTTGAGCCTATATGCCCACGCAGCAAGTATCAAAGAATAGCAGGCATTGGCTTGAGACAAAAGTTAACACCTAGAAATGAGGAAGAGAGAAACAGTTTGACATGACATACGTTCCTATATTAAGTATAATTATCATTTCATAAGACAGGTTTTGCCCCAAAACTGGGAAGTAAAACAATGAAGTGGTCCATTGGGGTTTTTGTTGACATGGTTTTATTTTTGTTGCTTTCTCTTTCTTTTTTTCCGTTTATTGTTATTGGTAAGTGCAGCCACCCTGCTGCTAATAGGGGTTATAGATTTTCTTTGGCTTCCATTCTTTGGGCCTAATCCATGCCTACAGAAACCAATGTGAAGATGCCTAGTGCCTTCAGTGGTATTTTGTTCAGACTCTTTATAAACATCTATACCAATTTAACACTGCAGGCAAACAGGGAAATAAGAGATGTATAACCAAACCATGATTACAGTACTGCCGTACTACCAAGAGTGTGATAGACACTTAACAAACAGAGAAAAGACAAAAGCCGTGCACTGATGCAACTGTATTTGAACTGGGCTCCACGCCGTCTCAAGAACTAACTTTGCCCTCAGCGGAGAGACTGGGTGGGCTGCTTGTCTTATTTTACTGTTGTCAGCTGCAGGTGCCTTGATAGTAGACAGACCACATTATATTCACCCCAAACCAGTGAATCAAAGTACTTGATCTCATTACTAGCATTGCTTAGCACTTTGGCAGTTGAGGAGAAGCTACAGGACCTGAACCTGTTCAGCCTCTGCAAGAGAAGGCTGAGAGGGGATGTGGTGGCCGTCTATAAACTTACCAAGGGGAACCAGCAGGGAACGGGAGAGTCCCTGTTCCCCCCAAGCACTACCAGGAGTAACTAGGAATAATGGCCATAAGTTGACTGAGAGTAGGTTCAGACTAGACATCAGGAGGCACTACTTCACAGTTAGGGTGGCTAGGATCTGGAACCAACTTCCAAGGGAAGTGGTGCTCGCTCCTACCCCTGGGGGTCTTCAGAAGGAGGCTAGATAATCACCTAGCCGGGGTCACTTGACCCCAGTACTCTTTCCTGCCATGGCAGGGGGTCGGACTTGATGATCTGCTCAGGTCCTTTCCGACCCTACCAACTATGAAACTATAATCTTCACTGGGGCTAAGATTTCATCCCAGATTGTTTGTAGCTACAATACTAACTCACTGTGTGACCTTGGGGTCACTGCACCCCTCTACTTCAGTTTCTCCACTCTGGGGATAATGATCAAGCACTCAGATACTCAGATGTCTGGCAGACTAATACAATTGGAAGGAAAATAAAAATTGATTGCTGCTCTGCACATCCTTCACATATTCCATTCAAAGAGGGCAAGTTCCTGTACAAACTCTAATGGTATAAGCCCCCAGAGCCTGAAGAAGTGGGCTTACCCTACCCTAGATATGGGAAAACTGAGGTGCAGCATGGTACAAACTCATCCCAGGTCTTCCAATGTGCCAATGGCACAACTAGGCATACAGCCTTGACCTCCTATGTCCTAGGGCTCTGCTCCAGCTACTGGAGATGCCTCTCCTTGTCCATGGAGTAAGACAGTATTGGAACACTAATGCATCCAGTAATGTTACCAAGAACACTGAATCTTCCGTTATTTTTAAGTATTCTTTTCCAAAATGTAAGCTCTTGTCAAATTCATCTTCTGGTATTTAAAAACTCTCTCTGACTTCCTTGTCTTCTCCTTCACTCCATCCTATCAGGTTGGTCTGCTGATTTCCCTCTGCAGACTCATGTAATCCAACCATTCCACCCTACCGCATGCCATTAGCTATTAGGTAACACTAACGCAACATGTTCCACCCTCAGTTACATGGGTCCTGAGTTTACATTTCATGCACCCTCAAATGCTCACTTATGGCATACATCTGCGAGACATTCCCCGCCAGGCACTGAGCAGACTCATCCCCCACTGGTACTCAGCATCTTCCCTTTGTTCTAGAAGCATTTACCAGCAACAACACCTTGTTCTCATTAGTTTTGTGCTCCTTGACTGCTATGAGATATCCACACATGTCTGAGACTAGCACTGACTGTTTTGCACTCTGAGCTTTTACTCAGATTGAGCTCTAATACTGTCCCCCCAGGCCACTTCTGTACTTGGTGCTTTCCAGATATTTGTTCCTAATTTGCACTTGTGCTATTTATTTCTCCTCTTTAGGTACGTTCAGCTCACAGATGTGCTGCCCCAATTCATTTGCTCTTTCTATCTCTTTTGCTCTTCCTGCCCCTCTGATTTTTCTGTGTTGTCAGGTCATTCTGAATTGAATTTGCATCTTTTTCTTGATTGTTAATGAAACTGCCCCACTTAATACTGCTCCCCACTTGCTCATTGGACTACTAATGATGACAATCTGTTTGCTGTTAGTCAAACAACTACTAACCCATGCTATTCATCCAGCTGGTATTTATCCAGTTTTGTAATACATTATTATATGACATGACATTGAATGCTTTACTGAGATTCAGATGCAACAAACACCCCGTATTCTTGTTGTTTACTAAAGATCATATCCACAGCTGTTGCAAATGAACATGGCTCATTTGAAATCACTGGATCAATGCTTTTTTTTTTCCAACTGGGGATCCTGTCCTAAATACAAACTACAGAAATATTATGTAGCTTCTGTGCAACTAAAACAAGCAAAGAGTTTTGAATTAAGATGTTTTGAATCTTACCAGCTCAGTCCTGCATGTTACAGATTCAGCACCTTTGTTTTCCAGAGTTTTGGTTAAGATCATCACCATGGTAATGAAGTCATGCATTGGAGCCCATTAGAGTACAGGCAAAGGTCACTCTCAGCCATGTTCTGGCAAAGCCGCTGTTTCGATGCATTTTCCCAAGCGAAAAGTTCAGTGGCACCAACTCCCGACTGCCCACTCACAGGATGATTTGACAAGAATAGCTTCCAAATGCTGGTGAGTTCCTGCACACAAAATCAAGGAACAAAGTTTTAAAGCAGTTCACAAACCAGAAAGCTTTAAAGCAAGCCTAGGAGAGAAGTAGGGAAAAGGTTTGAGACAAATTTTCATGGAAGTAGCCATGAAAAATGAATAGTGGTCCGCATTCTCGGTTTGTATTTAAAAAAAAAAAATCCAGGAATTTTTCAGGGTTTATCTTTGAAACATAAAAACCGGGATGAAATCAGGATAAAAGGAAGAAAATTTAAAAAAAAAATCAGTTTAAATTGGGGGGGAAAAAATCGGTGGTGAGGGAGGGAGGGAGTCAGGATGAGACTTAGGAAGAGGTGGGGGAGGGGCGTGGCACAGCCCATTGGCCGCTCCCGGGGGTGCAGCTGGGAGCAAAGTGGGATGAGCTGTCAGTGGGTGCAGCACGAGGCTCTTGCTACTATGCACCCCCCCCAGGAAGGCTGTTGGCTGGGGGGGCCTGTGCCAGGCTCTTCCCAGGGTGTGTGCACCCCTGGATCAG